CTCACGCTCACCGCCCGCGCACATCCACGATCGGCACAGGGACGTGGGGTGAAGAAGTAAGGAGGAGCAGGTGTGGGGGGATGGCAGCCACCGATAGACAGGCCCGATCTCAGAAACAAGTTGCTGGAAGACTGCTCAGGTAAGCCTGCACTTTCCCACACATGGTGCTCTATAATGTATTGCTGGGATTTGTATTCCTCTATAGCTGATGGTACATTTTGCTGTATATTATACCATCAGCTATAGAGGACTACAAATCCCAGCAATACATTATATACTTTATGTATAATGTATTGCTGGGATTTGTTGCATTCCTATATAGCAGGTGGTATTCTGCATTGCGCTGTATAGAGGTCTACAAATCCCAGCAATAATACATTATACAGATGCAATGCAGAATACCACCAGCTACAGAGGAGTACAACAAATCCCAGCAATAATACATTATACAGTGGTGCAATGCAGAATACCACCAGCTATAGAGGACTACAAAACCTAGCAATACTACATTATACAGCGCAATGCAGAATACCACCAGCTGTAAAGGACTACAAAACCCAGTACATTATAGCTGGCGGTATTTAGCATTGTGCTGTATAATGTACTATTGCTGGGTTTTGTAGTCCTCTATAGCCAGTGCCATTCTCCATTAATTGCTGTATAATTTTACACTTTTAATTTCACTATATTGCACACCACACTTTTTTTTTCTTTTTTACTTCCACCGCTCCAAGCTTGCTCCTGTGACGGACTACAATCTCAATACAAACTAGTAGTCCATCACTGCAGCCATTTTTTTACATTTATTTTAATTTTATCCGATTAACCGATTAATCGAACGTAATAATCGGCTAACTAATCGATTTTGGAAATAATCGTTAGCTGCAGCTCTACTCTACTCCTTTAGTAAATTAGGGTCACCATCTTGTATTTTTAAAGCAGAGAAACCTTAAAATTGTGTGAAGATGACCTGCTGCACTCACCAGTTACAAGCACTCTATAATAAATATATTTCATGACTTTGCTTACCGTACAACTCAAGGATTTAACACCTGGCATTGTAACAAACAGTTTTGTTAAGTGCTCCATGAACAACATTATTAGCATATTAACAGTTATTACGTGATAGCAATGTCATTTACCTGGTATTTGAGCATCACAAATTACTAAATGCAGCTAATTATCGGAGGGGCTCTCGTCACTGACGTCACTGTAGCTGTTCCTGTAAAATAATAAGAATTAAGACATGTTTCTCAGTTGGAGCTGTGGGTAGTTTATTATGTTAGTTCAAATATGGCAATTGTATAATAAAGAGACCCTGTCACTAATAAAAAAAGTCTAATTAAATGCTGTGGCCGTAAAGTTAAAAGCATATATTTACCTTGTACTTACCTCTCCTGCCACCAAATGACGTTCCAGTGCAGAGGAATCGCCGAGCGCAGTTTCTTCTGAAACAAATGCTTTCAGGAGAGTCAAACTACTTTGCCCTTGCAGCACTCACAGCGCCTTTTTAAAGGTGAAATTAGACTTTAAAAAGACCTTATCAGTGAAAACCTAAAAAACACAGGGCAACACTGTACTTGCTGCTGAAAGCAGTCTGCTGGTTCTGAGCAGGAGTTGTAAGTATTGTAAAAATCAAACTTAAAACAGGAAGACATTCAGAATTAGTCATCCATGCCTGTCCAGCAGGTTTATTCTTCCGAAAGAAAGTCACCGGATTACAGAATTTCTCTTTCCCGATAATCTCCTAAAAAATAATTTTTGCACTTACCGTAAAATCTTTTTCTTAGAGTGTATTGAGTGACACAGGAATTGTAGATGATCTTAGATTGATGGGTCATATGCAGCTACCTACAGGATGTGGCAACTGGCAAACAGGAGAAAACACTGAAGGCCAGCCCCAGTAGTCCTCTCATCCCTAATTCCCTTGTTTCAGTTTTGTGAGCATGCTGTACATAGGAGGAATGTCCTCAATAGACTTCAAGAAAAAGTACAAAACTCTTTTTTTATTGTCCATTAGGGGACAAAGGGATTGTACTTAGACTGATGGGACAATCAAAAGCAAAAGCAGTTTAGCGGAGGGGTTTTTCACAAATTTTAAGTCACCGCCCACAGAGGACAGAAAATGGTCATATATAATTCAAACTGAGATTTCAAGAAGGACTATGAGCAATTTTTTTTGGTTCGGATGAGTATAACTTTTTTTATTGTTGCACCTAGACCAAAACGAGCAGTTAAACCTCACAGGGTGGAGGTAGCCCCACTGCAAGGCTTAATTGAAAATTGCTAGGAGTTCTTTTTTAATCAGGGAGTCCAACTGGCTGTTAAAGGTAAAGGCACCATCAACCAGTGTGACGAGGTGTGCAGAGTCCACAAAAGGTACGGAACATTTGACAAGAAATTTCCTATTAAAAGGGAAAATGCTTCATCACATCATCAGTAGAAAACCATGTTCCCAGTCCTCAAAGAGGAACTGTTCTAGAACAGAGGATTAAGGAAAATAATTATTTGCTGAAGATGATTCTTGACGTGGTACAGCAGGTTGATCCTCTAGATTCACACCAGAGCATACTACATCAATCAGACTGGAAACAACAGTGTGCATACCAGAGTAATGAAGAAAGTGGTAATATATAGTCTATACAGAAGGAGACTGTGAAGGTTCTGAATTTCGATATAATAATAGGGGCATAAGACATTCTGAGAGATGAGGGCCCAGAACTAGATTTAGCCACAGATGGTGCTAAGGCTGAAACTGAATGTCTGTGAGCAGATTGTTCCATTAATCTCGTACAGACTGGCACAGAAGTCAGAAGTGCATATAGAAAGCCTGCCAAACTGAGGGCAGGTCTCAGGAGAAAGAAGTAGAGCTATAGAAGGTGCTGATGCCTATTTTCTTTGATAGGGGTCCCAGAATCAAAAATACAGCATTGGTTACAGGTGAATTGCTTCCTGAAACTGTCGAAGGGAAAATATAGTGAAGTTACCTTGCAGTGGGACTGTCCTCTGAACATCTTTTAACAGACATGTTGTATGATGTGGGTATAAGCAACTATACCCCAAAAAAGGCCCAGCACACTCACAAACCTAGGCAGTAAGTACCTGCAAGGGTCATAGGCATCCCATGGTAATCAAGTCACTAAAGGTGGGCAGTGGAGTATTACCAGAACCGGAAAATTCACAATGTGCTAGAAGCAGCAATAGCAGTGGGAAGGGCATTCCTTGTATGTCGAAGATTGGGCAGGAAAAGTCCGGAAAATTGCCACAATATAGAGCCCAGTGCCCCATGGTCATAAAGTAGGCTGTTACACTATTCAGAGGTTTACACACAAGGAAGGTATACCGAGGCTGGACAGTGTCACTGCTCTAGACTTGGGGAGTGCTCTGCAGTAAAGTACACAAAGTGTAGAAAACAACACAATGCATAGCTCACTGATCAAAGGTCATATCAGAAGACTGGGTTACGCAGAGCTGTACCACTGTTCAAAAACTAGAGAGCGCTCTGCAGCTAAGAAACACAGTACACATGGGTAAAGAAATTCCACAATGCAGAGCCTGGTGTCCAAAGGTCACATTTCAGATTTTCTTTGCCCCATCTATTGGCCTATTTACACAGTGACCCTTCAGGAACTGGGCCACACCAGAGGCTGTGCCAGGGCACTGGAACTTTAGAGTGTCTGACTAACTAACCCAGAACATTAATGTCTGGAAAACACCACAAACAAAGCTCACTGCCCAAATGTACATTCCAGACAGGCCCCGCAATCTTTGGTTCAGTGGGGTCCGGGTACGACTTCCAAGATATTGCCAAGGATAAGCCGATCTATACAGCCCAGCTCAAGCAGCATATTAAACAATTTGATTGAAGAGAAAAAAACAACCCTGGTGAACAGAATGTGCCAATGAAAAAAAACTAGATCAGTAAAAATAATAGCAAATATATCTAACATTTTCCTAGGTCACTAGAAAAAAACAGAAGCATGATAATTAGCAGCAGGGGTTAAACATGTGTTTTCTCTGTTATTTCTGTGTACCTTATGTAGGCAGATGCATATAACCCATCAATCTCAGATTATCTACAATTCCTGTGTCTCTCAGTGGAACATAAAATAATATTTTTATATGCATGAGAGAATTTAATAAACAGTAGAATGACTATAAGTTCTTTAACTGGCCAAGTCTGTCTATTCCTGAAATATGCTCTTTTAGTTTTCTTTTTTGGTTGGTGCTCGTTAATAAAATCGATTGTTAATTTCTCCCTTTCCATCTACTTACTGCTACTCTGGTTACCATCCCATACAATAAGAAAAGAATTAGGATCCATTTGTCCTAATTTGTCAAGAACAGAACAAAGTCATTGATGCTATGTAGGCTGTACCCATGGAAATGTCAATGTCTTTTTCGATAGCAAAAGACAAGCCAAGCAGATTTACCCAGCATTTATTACAGACTGATGTTTCAGAGCTGCATGAAACCTTTTCTCAAGGGTCATCTTGAGAAACATGGCTAGTTTTGAGAGTGCAGTAACCAAGCTTCTTTTTAGCACATCCTTTCACGCTCAATATTTCTATGAATGTAATTGTTACTGTAGGTGTAAGTTTTATTAATTGCCTGCTTGGGTGAAAAATCACATAAATATATATGCAGTAAACAGTAATTATACAGGGAGTCTAAATATTACTGTGCAGTCCAATAGACACCAGAGTTAGACCTAGCGCTCTAAGTAATCAGCATGCAGTAAAAGGCTTGGTTTGATATTGACACAAACGAAAACCTTAAATCCTGGCTGCAAGGAATTAAAACATAAAGATTAATGGTATGTTACGTAGACCTTCTGACACAGCTGCTTGATTTTACCTGTTGCCTGGACAATATTTTGCTAAATTCAAAGCTTTCTTTAGCAATTAAGCTAAAAACCCTTACATGTATGCATATGTGTGCTTTCCTTATTGATTGCTGTAACATTCTTCTTAAATCTGCTTTTCACTGAACTCTTTACAATCTATATATTTTAACTCTTGATTTCTTTTCTTTTTTTTTTTAACACACTTCATAAATGTACATTTTAAAGCACTTCCCTCTTCTCCATTAGGAAACATTTATTCACCTTCATCTATAACTTAGAAGCTTTTATGAGCTCCATTAAGAATAATTCTCCAGAAAAAAAAAACATTTTGTGATTATAAGAAATATGACTATCTTTACCATATTACTCCTACACTGAGCAGCAGGAGTAAGAGGACACATCACTAAATACTCTACATTTGTCTACATTTTCTGGACACTTGTGGGTAAAACCAACAGAAGAAGCTAAAGTGGGTGCAGGATTTATTCATAGGAGTCACAAGATTCTTTGCAGATCATGCAATATGAAAGTTTTTACTCTTTTGCTGTTCTAAAGGTGTTAGAGGGGTTGACTGAGGGATGTATCAAACAATATTATACCAAAGTTAGAGCATTCCAGTTTATAATTTCACATAACAAAAGAAGTGGGGCCTGTATGATAATATCACCATTCTTGTCATATTAAAGTGGAACTATACCTTAAACTAAAAAACTGCTAGCACATGGGCTCTTCTGCATTAAATGTCCTTTTCCTGCCTGCTTGAAAACTGCTTTAGATTGTACAATGAGCTGTGCATGCACATTTCAGCAATCTCAAAATGCCTTGGCGCCAGAATGAATTAACTCTAATGCACATGAGCAGGAGTTATGTGATCTGTGAACAATCAAGATGGCTGATGATGCTGAACCCAGAAGAACATGGAAGTGCCAGTGAAGGAGCATGCATCACTTGAGGACAGGTAAATATTGCAGGACTTTACCTGCACTTAAAAGCAATTTAAAATTTGAAGATGCTTAAATCACAGCAGCCTCATCAGACACACAGACGCAGAGATCCCTTTGTCTGATGCCAACAAGAAACAAATACCGCACAGTATGTGCTTAATTTACCTTTAAAACATGTACATAAATAGCAACCGACCATAATTCTTAAGATGACCAAGCCAAAACCAAAGAGAAAGAATCAATATTTGCAGGGAATCTGAAGAGATTCTGAAGCTCTGGCGCTGGAAATGGCAAAAGCTCTGGTCAGAGTGGGAAAATATATTCTACACATATTCTATATATTCTACAATATATTCACACCTCCAAAAACTATTAAAAGTAGGGAGTGTAGAGGATCCATAACCAGAGCCCACATTAAAAAGTGCAAAGCAG